TCTCCTCTCCTCTCCTCTCCTCTCCTCTCCTCTCCTCTCCTCTCCTCTCCTCTCCTCTCCTCTCCTCTCCTCTCCTCTTCCTTCTATTTCCTCCCTCATTCCCTCCCTGCTGCTCCTTCTCAGCTGATCTCTCACACCAGGAGACTCCGGCGGTCTGGCAGCGAGTCTTCGACGCTAACAAGGAGGAGTGCTTGTTCGGAGAGGTGCGGCACACAGAGCACAAACTCTTGTCGCAGTTCGGCCTCCACGAGGATCAGCTCCCCAAGGTGATGATGCAGCTGGCCTCGGGGTCTTGCGTCTTCTACGAGGGCACCAACAACTTCGAGCGCATCAACGTGTTCGTCAAGTCAAACTCCCTCAAGTCCCTCACTGACCAGCCCGGCGCTCCCGGTGGCCTACAGACGCCATCGGCTGGCAGGGGACTGACCGGCGTCGGCCTCGGCTCGCTCTTCGGCTCCGTGCCTGACAGCAAGCTTCCTCCTCCCCTTCAGCAGGCTCCAGACCCAACCAGCTCCCCGATCCCAGCCGCACACCCCCCAGCTGACGCGCAGCAGCTCGGCTTCGCCTCCCTCCCGCAAACTCCGGCCATGAAGTTTGGGAGCCAGGCAGGATTTCAGCTCACCAGCGAGCTGGACACTCCGATGCTGCATGGGAGAGCTCCTGCTCCTACTCCTGCTCCTGCTCCTACTCCTGCTGTTCGAGAGGAGGGGCTCCGAGCTCCGAACTTCGAGCTGGGCAGCTCGCCCTTCTTCTCCTCCAAACCCTTCCAGTCGGTTGTTTCCGACCAGCAGCAGCCCATACAGCATCGGGCAAGGGACCCTCCCGTAGTGGCTCACGAGCGGGAAGAACGGGCTCCTCCAGCTCCAGCTCCAGCTCCAGCTCCAGCTCCAGCTCTAGCTCCAGCTCCAACAGTAACTCCGAGCTTCTTCTCGAGCGATCTTCGGCCCTTGCAGGAGCAAGGCTTCCAGCAGCCTTCTCGGGCAGGCGCGGCTGCAGCAGCTGACAACCAGGTGAAAGAGTCGCAGGCGTTGACAGTTAGCGGGGTGAGCAAGAGTTCGATGAGCGCTGAGATGGAGGAGGAGCACTGGAAGTTGAAACGTCTCGTGCTCCAGCACCCACTCCACCTCCCCTCAAGGTTGGAGCTCGCGGAGTTCCTTGCGTATCAGACACAAGACTTCGAGGCTGCAGATGAGGTAGGGGAGAGGAGAGGAGGGCAGGGGAGGAGAGGGGAGGAGAGGAGGCGGGATGGGATGGGGCGGAGAAGTATCTCCTTGAGCTGATGGTGTGGGGCAGGAGTACGACCGGGCTATGGAGCTGGCAGAGAGGAACGAGGACGAGGACGGCAAGACGCATGTGCTCTGCTCGAGAGCCAACTTCCTCTTCATGCAGATGGGCAACTTCACAGGAGCAGAGTCTTGCTACCGGGAGGCCCTCGACCTGCACCCTCGAGACGTCACTCTCTGCTACAATCTCGGGCTCATGCTTGACTCCCAGCAGCGCTACAAGGATGCCGAGAGGATGTACAAGCGCGCCCTGAGGATCGACCCGCTGCACGCGCCCACCCTCGTCAACTATGCCGTGCTGCTGCAGGAGGAGCGCGGCGACAACGAGCAGGCAGAGGCCCTGTACCGCACGCTCCTCTCCTCCTCCTCCTCCCCTCCCGTCACCGCCCTTGTCAACTTCGGTCGCCTGCTCGCCGGGGTGAAGCAGAACCTGACGGGCGCCGACGAGATGTTCCAGCGAGCCCTGAATGCATCCCCCAGCTGCCTCCCAGCCCTTGTGAGCCGAGCTGAAGTCCAGCTGGGGATGGGGGAGGTGGAGACAGCGGAGGAGTGCCTGCAGGCGGCGTTGCGGAAGGCGCCCAAGGACGTGGACGCTCTGTGCGCATACGCGGCTCTGATGGAGAGAGAGTTCGAGGACACGGAAGGAGCGGAGAGGATGTACAGGAAGGCTCTGTCAGCGTGCTCGGGAGGAGACAGGAGGAGGAGAGTGAGGGTGCTGTGCCGGTACGCGGGGCTGCTGGCGTCGGTGAAGCAGGACTACAAGCGAGCAGAAGAGCTTGTGGAGGAGGCGCTGGCGATCGACCCGTCGGTCAAGGGAGGAGTGAAGTTCCTGGAGATGGTTCGCAGTAAGCAGCTGGTGGGACGAGCGTTGCCCCCCAGCCTGAGCTCGCACGTCTCACTACCTCAAGGAGGAGCAGCAGGAGCAGGAGGGGAGGGAGAGGTCGATCTGGATGCTATCATCGAGTGGTTCCAATCCGCTTGCTCGTTGGAGTGCGAGCAGGCAAAGTCGCGATGGGGCAGAACAGAGGAGGAGGAGGCGAAGGAGGCGATAAGGCGTATAGAGTTGTATGCCAGCCAAGCTCTGGAGAGGATCAAAGCTGTCGACAAGGTCACATGCTCTCTCCCTCCTCCTCTCCCCTCCTCTCCTCTCCTCTCCTCTCCCCTCCCGTCGCCTCCCCTGCACTGCACCGCACTGCTCTGCTCTGCTCTGCTCTGCTCTCCTAATCTGGCTGAGCAGGATGTGAGAGTTCGTATCGAGGAACTCAAGGAGACATGCCGAGCGGGTAAGGGAGGAGGAGGAGGAGGAGGAGGAGGAGGAGGAGGAGGAGGGAGTGAGCTAATCTTCTTGCAGTTGACAAGATGAGACAAGAAAGGAAGGAGGAAGAGAGGAGAGAAGAGGAGAGGAGACGTGAGAGGAAGGAGGAGGAGAGGAGAGAAGAGGAGAGGAGACGGGAATGGAGGCAGGAGGAGAGGAGGGAAGAGGAGAGAAGGCAAGAGGAGAAGAAGACTTCGAATCCGTTCTTGTCATCTCCGAGGATCAATCAAACGGATCACTCGACGGGTCTTGGCAGTCTCTTTGGCTTCAACTTGAACCCGTCAGCAGCAGCAGGAGCAGGAGCGGCAGCAGCAGCAGGAGCAGGAGCAGGAGCGGCAGCAGCAGCAGCAGGAGGATCGAGAGGCACCGCCGGCTTGTTCCCCATGCCAGACAAGGCTCGTGTGGAGGAGGCAGCGGCTGCTCCTGCTCAAGGTGGGCATCTTGTTTACAGCTCGATGGATGACGAAAGCCCGCAGGATTCTTCTTCTCCTCCTCTGGTCAACCTCCTCCTGCTCCTCCGTCCTTCTCTTTCTCCTCCTCGTCTGTCCAACAGGGAGCGCCGCTGCTTGTACAGGAGGGCTTCTGGGAGGAGGAGGGAGGAGAAGGAAACCCTGCCAACTGCGCTCCTCTCCTGAACCGGAACAACTTCTTCCTGAAAGATCCGTTTGTGTCTGGTGTGGTGGAGATCGGAGCAGAGAGGAAGAGGTACTCGATCTAATCTGCTCTCCTCCCTCCTCCCTCCTCCCTCCTCCCTCCTCCCTCCTCCCTCCCTCCCACCTCTCCTCCCACCTCTCCTCCCTCGTTTCTCCTCCACTTACACCTTCTCCTTGCTTTCCTTCCAAGCTTCTCCCCTTGACTTCCTACTTCATTACTCTCCTCCCTCTCCTCTCCATACATCCATTGCTCCCTCTCGCTCCCTCTCGCTCTCTCGCTCCCTCATCTGACTTCCCTCTTCCTCAGTGTTCGAAGCTCCTCGGAGGCTCTCAATGCTGCGAGCATGGCGCGTGTGAGGACGTGGGTGGAGATCTCGGGAGGGTCGCAACTGAAGGTAGCGGAGAAGAGGAGGGAGGAGATAGCGGGTGAAGGGAAGGAGGAAGGGAGAGGAGGAGTGAGAGGAGGAAGGGTAGAGGAGGAGAGGGGCAGGAGGCGGGAGGCAGAGAAGGAGGCAGGGAGGAAGGAAGAGGAAGAAGAAGAGGAGAGAGGAGGGGAGGTTCATTGACGTGAGTGCTTTCAGTCGCTGCCACAACCTCAAGCTCTTCCTGAAGGAACTCGAATCCTTCAGGCAGATGCAGGTGAATAGAGGGGAGGAGCACCCAGGGGAGGGGAGGGGAGGAGGAGGGAAAGGGAGGAGAGGAAAAGGGAGGAGGAAGAGCAGGAGCACGAGGAACACGACCACGAGAAGGAGGTGGAGAGACTTTGGTGTGAAACTGACGGTTATGACAGAAAGGACGTTCAAGAACCCTGCCTTCCGGGAGAGTATGGTGCGGATACTCAGCAAGGTAAGACACGAAGACATGAAGATGGAGGAGGAGGGGGGAGCAAGGGGAATGAAGACGAGAGTGGGTAAGGAGGGAGAGGAGGGAGACAGACAGCAGGTAGGGGGAGCAGGAAGGAGGGGAAGCTTTACAACGATGGGGAGGAGGATGGTGACGTGAGGTGCAGGTGGCGGACGGAGACTACCATCAGGGGTTGGGCTACGTAGCAAGCTTCCTGCACCTCTACCTCTCCGAGGAGGAGGTCGCGCGTGTCCTCGTCGCTATGGGGAGAAGCGAGAAACATGCCAAGGGATACTGGAAGGCGAAACCAGAAGCCTTCGCGCGAGACGCCATGGTGTTTGAACGCCTGCTTGAGGTTACTAGACTCCCTCCGTCCCTCCGTCCCTCCGTCCCTCCGTCCCTCCTCCGTCCCTCCTTTCCCCTGACTCGCTCGCCTGCAGCAAAGGGACCCTGAGATCGCTGCTCGCCTTCGATCAGCTGGAGTTGTACCGGAGGCGTACGCGCAGAAGTGGTTCGTGGTGAGTAGAGGGTCTAGAGCTCTCGAGCCGCAGCTAACGGGCGCGGCAGGGGCTGTGCGTGCACGTACTTCCCTTCAGGTACCTGATGGACCTCATGGAGCGATACTTGCAGCGGGGATGGACGTACATCCTCCGCTTCGGGCTGGCCCTCGTGGAGCAGCTGCGGGGGAAGATGAAGCAGCTGGCGCCGCACGACTCGTCGAAACTTCTGGCGCTGCTGCGGCTCGATCCCAACTTTTTCCCCGACGACTCCTCGGACGCGTTTCTGGAGATTCTGAGCAGGGCGGAGAAGATCGAGCTGAATGAAGGAGAGATGGAGAGGATGCGGTCAGAAGAGATGAAGAAGCTGCAGGAGAAGCTGCAGGCTGTGAGAGAGCGAGAGCAGCAGATGCAGAACGAGTCGGGGGACGAGGAGGACGAGGAGGACGAGGAGGACGAAGCGGCTGAAGTAGAGGAGAGGAGGGAGAAGCTTGCAGTGACGTCGGACCAGGAGGGGATCAGGACAGGCGAGGAGGAGGAGGACGTGCTGTTCTCCAGGAGGTCGAAGATGTTCCGCTTCAACGACGAGAAGAAGGAGTGGAAGGAGAGAGGGCTGGGAGAGCTCAAGCTCTTGCTCAACAGGAGGACGGGAAGGATTCGCGTCTTGATGAGGAGGGAGGAGACTCTCAAGGTTTGTGCCAACCACGTGGTGACCAAGGACCTGGAGCTTCAGCCCATGGCAGGGACGGACAAGGCCTGGACTTACTTCACCGCCGACTACTCGGGGATCAACGAGATGGGCGAGTACACGGGAGAAGTTTACACGGAGCTCTTCGCCTTCCGGTTCAAGGACCCGCAGGCGGCACGAGACTGGAAGGACGCGGTTGAGAAGTGCAAGGCTGGGGACTTGTCAGGGTTCTCGAGGAAGGACGCGATGCTTGACCGACCCAAGAGAAAGGAGGAGCCTGACCTGGTGGACGAGAGACAAGTGGCTGGAGTCGGGGCGGAAGAGGGAGAAGATGGCGGAGGAGGAGATGGCGCAGCAGCAGGGATCGAGAGAGGAGGAGGAGGAGGAGGAGGAGGAGGAGGAGGCATCGACTTCTCGGTGCTCCGAGGCTTCGCCACCAGCGAGATGGGCAGCGGCAAGGCCGAGGAAGGAGACGAGCAGATGGGAAACCTCACTGCTCAGCTGGGAAGTTCTTTCTTCTCCCTCTCCCCCAAGCAGACACCCAGCAGCGGCGGAAGCTGGTCTGACCTGAACGCTTCACAGGTGTCAGATCTCAACTCGGTCCTCAACTCCTCCGTGTTCAACCCCTTCCGCCTCTTCAATAGCAGCTCCTTCACCCCCTTCAGCTGGCAGAATCCCCCAGCTCCCTCCCGCCTCTCCAATCCCTTCGCTGAGGGCGCGACGGACGAGGGGACGTGGAGGTGCGGGTTGTGCTGGACGACCAACGGCAACTCGAGCAAGTGCGTCGTTTGTGGGGCCCCGCAGGAGGAGAAGGCAGAGAAATTCTCGGCGATGCCTGACAAGAGTTCGTCATGGGGCTTCGGGACGAGGAAGAACAATGTGCTGGAGGAAGTGGAGGAGGAGGAGGAGGAGGAGGAGACGGAAGAGTCGGAGGACTAGTCTCTTGAGAATAAAGTTTCAGCTGGAGAACATGAGAGGAAGGCTTGAGAGGAGGGAACGCTGAGGGGAAGCAGACAGAAGAGGATACGATAGGTGACAGGAGTCGAGGAGGTTGAAAGAAAGCGAAGGCTGAGAACAGGGAGAAATGTAAGAGCGATCCAGGAATGGAGGAGCAGAGATTAGTGAGGAGTCAGGAAGAGGAGAGGAGAGGAGAGGAGAGGAGAGGAGAGGAGAGGCGAGGAGAGGAGGGAGGGAGGGGAGGGGAGGGGAGGAGGGAGGAGGAGAGGAGGAGGAGGGGAGG